AAAAAAAAAAAAAAAAAAAAATGGTATTGACATAAAGATAGATGAATGAAAAAACAGAAGGAAGTCCAGAAATAGACCTGCTTATATGTGAACAACTAGTCTATGACAAAAACACAGACAGTTCCATGGAGAAAAAATAGGTTTTCAGCAATGGGTGCTAAAACAATTGAATATCCATGTGTAAGAAAATAAATGACATCTGTTTGGTTCTTACCTCCCACTTTATAAAAAATTAAAAATGGAACATAGACCTAAATATGAAACCGTCTGAAAGAAAGCATATGAAAATATCTTTGCGACCTTGCATCACAAAGATTTCTAAGGTATAACACCAAATGCACAGTAGAAGAACAAATTGATACATGGGACTTCATCAAAATAAAAAGCAAAACTTATGCTCTTTAAAAACCACTGTTAGGAGAATAAAAGAACAAGCCACATATTGCAGAAAATATTTGTAAAGCATGTATCTGATGAAGGATTTATACTTTGAAATACATCTGAAATATATTAAGGACTCTCAAAATTCAATAATACAAATAAAACCCGATAAAAATGTAGGCAAAAGATGTAAATTTCACCAAGGAAGATATACAGATGGCAGATAAGCGCATGAAATGTTGTTAGACATTATATGTTATTATGGAAATGTAAATTTACAAAGTTTAATGAGCTATATTACCCATGTACCAGAATAGCTCAAATTAGACTGACTGTTCCAAGTGTTGGCAAACATGTAGAGTAACTGGAACTCTTTTACACTGCTATAGCTTCTTCAAATGTTAAAGTGTATCTGCCCTATGACCCCACTATTCCAGTTTCAGTTATTTACCTAAGAGAAATTGTAACATATGTCCATACAATGAAATGTACGTGAATGTTTATAGTAGCTTGCTCCAGACTGGAAACAACCCAAATGTTGATGAATAGAATGGATAAACAAATTTTGGTGTATCCATACAATGGAATACACAAAAATAAAAAGGAACAAACTATTGATATGTGCAACATGAATGAATCTCAAAATCATGCTCAGTAAAAGAAACCAGACAAAAAGTATATATTATTCCGCTTACATAAACTTCTGGAATATGACTAGAATATGAAGTTCTAGAAAGTTCTAGGAAACTAATCTATAGAGATCTGTGGCTGCCTGGGAAGATGTATGGAAAGATGCCCAGCACTACTAATCATCAGATAAAGCTTTTGTTGAAAGCATCCCTTGTGGTTCTAAGCTAGAGCCGTGCTTGAGAAACCTGTCGGTATTGTTCCTGCTGGCTGGTTGTTCGCTGATCCCAGTCTGCTTTCGTTTTCTTTATATGCCTGACAGATGAAGGGTTTAACAAAGCAGTTTGTTTTAAATAAGCAGTTGTCTGCCAGAGAATCTTTGGAAATAGATTGCAAGATAAGAAGTTTGCAGAATAGGGTGTTTCCCACACGCTGGGTTCATGATCAGACAAAGGGAATGTGAAAGCAAAATAGTTACGGGAGGAGGAGGGTGATGTTCTACCAGTCCCATTAATTTAATGTATTTTTTTTTAGGGCAGAGTCGACTTTTGAGGGTGACAGAAAACCAGAAACAAGTGTGTCGGTAAGATAACTTTTATTATTTTAAGGCAATACTTCTCCAGTTTCAGTTATTTGTATACCATCTTCAAGATATGTCATAGCTCTGCTCTTATCTATATTTTTCTCAATTAAATTGATCTTAAACTATTTTGAAATGAATGATTTCACCTTCACATGGAAAATCATTACTTGTAACAAATAGTAGGTAAGCCCCCAAATAAGTACAATTGACAATCGCAAGTGTAGTCTCTTGAACTACACTTTTACTTGATTTACTTATTATTATTTTATTCACTGCATGCAATGGGCTTTATTAGCTGTAAACTATGAAAAGGTAAATCTGCCATATGGATGGACAAATAACCCCAACTGACAAACTCAGCAGAAGGTAGCATTTCATGTGAAATCTTATTTGATGGCATATGAGTAATGGAAAATTGAAAGACTGCTTAAGTCAGTCGTTTGCCACTGTAGCAAATGCTCATTTAACTTTGTAAAGAGTCCATTCACCCAAATGAGAGATGATGGGTACTCTCTCTTATTGTGACCCAAAGGGGCAGCACTTAGTGAGAATGGGCACTGCCTATGGAACAGGTACTTACAGCCAGAG